TAGAATGAATAAAAAAAGTATGCTTCTGCCAGATAGCATGATGAGTGAGATTCAGGGCTAACTCAGTTCTGAGTTAGCCAGCCCTGATTCCTCATGAGTGACAGAGGGTGGATAGATGAGATAGGCAGAAGGTTAGATGTTTAAATGAAGGGCTTAAAAATAGGCAAGATAAATGCTGACAAAATTAACTACTGTTTTATGTGGGCTTGCTCTGCCAGAGTAGCATGTATAGTTAATACCTCTAACACACTCTGCTTGCTAAGTACACAGTATAAAGAAATAATTGAAGAAGTAATGGAAGAGAAGCCTGTGAAAGAACAGTGTTTATATGTGCTGTTTTTTTTTCTTAAGAAGAGCCATACATCCTTGCATTCAATAAGAACGTTCCACAGTCTAAGGCTACCATAACCCACTCATGGGTTTTGCTTGTTTTGCTACTGTCCTGGGTTCAGCAGTAGCAGTCATGTTTCTCCTCCTTGGTAGCTGGTGCAGTGCAGTGTTTTGACTTTCGGCTCGGGAACAGAGCTGATAGAGATGTTTTGGTTTGGCCAAGGACTTTGTGAGCCTCATGCTCTGCCAGGGAGGAGGGGAAGCTGGGAGGAAGCAGAGACAGGACACCTGACCCAAACTGACCAAAGAGCTATTCCATACCACAGCACGTCATGCCCAGGATGTTACTGGGAGTTAGCCGGAAGGGCTGGGAGACGGCAGGGTTGGAGGAGGTATGGGTCGGTGCTTGGTCGGGGACTGGGGGGCCGAGTTATCAGTTGGTTGGTGGTGAGGTGTTGTATTCTCTTCCCTTGTTATTTCTATTATCATTGTTATTATTGGTAGTAGCAGTAGTGATTTGTGTTATACCTTGGTTACTAAACTGTTCTTATCTCAACCCGTGGGAGTTGCATTCTTTTGATTCTCCTCTCCGTCCCTCCGAGAGCAGGGGGAGGGCAAGAAAGGGGGGGGAAGTGAGCGAACGAATTACCTGACTGGGTTTAAACCACGACAGTTCTTTTGGCGCCCAACGTGGGGCTCGAAGGGTTGAGATAACTACAGATTTGACTGGATTAATAGTCACTCATCACAATGACGATTTATTGGCTCTCAGAGTTGTTTCACTTGATCTCACAGCTTCAGAATGTTGTAACTTACGTAGAGCCTGTATTTGCTGTGATAGTGTTTATCAAGTGTGGGGCCTGGGCTAAGGTTCTTGTCTCACTGTGCTTTATGGCAATGGCTTGTAATACGGGCGGGCTCCAGCAGCAGGGCGGGACGGACGTGGCCGTGGACTTGTACCTGGCCGTCCGGCTGCTCTTCACCGCCCTGGCCCTCACCCTACTCTCCATCTTCGTGAGGCTGCGGGGAGCCGAGGGTGAGCGGCCCCGGGAGCCGGCGCCTGCTGAAGCGGCTCGGGAGAGCGGCCCCGGGGACCAAGCGGCGGCGGGAGCGGGGCCGGAGGCCGAGAGGGGACGGCTGCCGGTGGAGGAGGTCGGGGCGGTCGAGGAGCAGAAGGAAGCGGCTGCCGAGCAGCGGGATAAGGCGGCGGAGGAGCCGAGCCCCGCGGAAGAGCCGAGCCCCGAGGAGGAGCCCAGCCCCGCGGCCGAGCCGAGCCCCGCGGAGGAGCCCAGCTCCGCGACGGCCGAGAGCATCCCCCGGAAGCCGCCTGCCGAGCCCCAGGAGGATGCAGGAGACCACGCAGCATTTCCCAGCAAGGCAGAGGAGGAAGAGCTGGGCTCAGGAAAAGAGAAGCTGGCGGTGGGAGAGCCGGCAAGCACAGCGGCTACACCAGCCCCAGCGACAAGTACAGCAGCTACACCAGCCCCAGTGACAAGTACAGCAGCATCGTTTGAGAGTTCTGAAGGCTCTGAATGGCCTTTGGGTACCCTTGGGACCTGCCTGCTGATCGTGATGGGGATCAGCATGTTGGCACACACACAGACTGTGTTCTACCCACAACCATTTTGTCTGATCTCAAAAGTTAAGCAGAGTCAGGTTTGGGTCTTGTCTGGGGTTAGACAACAATATAGGGGGACCAAGAGATTTTCCCCAAGGCTGGAGAGTCATGAGTGGCAGGGTGTGTGGGACAGTATGGGCAAGTATCTAGTCCACTGGGCCCCTCCAGTGCTTTGGAAGCATCGGAGATGGAAGGCAGCTGTATGGAGTCCCCAGCAACAAGCTGCAGAAACTGCTGAAGGGGACAGTGAATTATTTTGAGCCGGGTGGGCCCATGGGACTTCAAGCCATCAGGGCAGAGATGCAACATAGACATGGACTCAAGATCGAGGGGTGGACTTAGCAATGGACACTATTGCCCTAGTTATTCATGAGTGTGAACACTGCACACAGTCTCTCCTGCTCTGGAAGACTGTTACAAGAGATGGAGCCTGACATCATGGACCAGATGGACGCAGCAGCTTTATAGGGACTGGTCCATGCACTAAGATAAGAGTGCACCGAGATAAGAGTGATGGTATATTGAAAATATGGGATCTGAGCATGACGTGAATGGTATGGAATAAGGGGTGGATAATGCTTTCCCACAATACGGCAAGAGCCATCAGTAAACAAGGCAGAGTCAGTGGCAGAAACAAAGGAGGTTTCTCCAATTGCCATGCAAATGCCCTGAGCCTAAGCCACCCTTCTGACTCAAACAGCTACTTTTCTGTAAAATATTAGCAAAACAAGAGAAACATTTATTTTATTACTTGAAATAACGATTCTTATTTTAGACAGTATAATATTTGTTCATATATAAAAAATACCAGTAATCTATTTTGAACAAAATTGGTCTTTACCCTCAGATTTTTCCCTTTGGCTACCTTATTAGTAGCAAATATCCAGCATTCCCTTTTCTGGTATACCATCAAAATATGAGTTTAATCCTGATCCTGGTTATTCTACAGTTCAGACTCATATATGCAAACTGGTCTTCTGTTAGGAACCTAAGCCTTACTTTTAGTTCATTATTTTTCAAAAGCAAGTAGCTCTCCCAGCTTATTTTCTGCTACCTAAGATCCTATCATTTGTTCATAAGGCTTATCTGTAAATACCGGTTATCTACTGGTATTAACCCCAATTATGAAGTCTTGAAGATCTAAAAAAATAAAATTAATCTGATTTTTTTTGTTCTTTCTGGTTAGTTCTTGAAAATGCAACTTTGTAACCTTTACAGTAACCAAACCATGAAATTTACATCCAGAACTACTTACAATTTATTTTTCTTCTTGCAGGTGATTTCTTTTAATTTCTTTCAATTAAAATTTGTGGAGAACAGGAGAGGATGCAGACAGAAGGTGTGAACTCCTGCCCCTCCAGTCTTCTGGCCAGTTTAACACCAGCTCTGCCAAAGTGCAATTTTTCAAAATAATCTTTAAAATAAAAACTTTGCTTAGTGTCAGAACAAGAAGTTACAAGCACCAGAGGGCAGTTGCCCTGCGGTCCTTGTCTGCCCATAAAGTACCACTCAGTATTACCAGATTTCTGCTACCTTGGTCCTGAACTCAGCCTTACGTTAGTTTCAAAGGTTCCTGTGTGCAAACTCCATGCCTCTGGTACCTAACACCCGTCTGCTACAAGCTTTCACCACAAAGCAATTAATTTTATTTTAGACCCACCTACCCCCATAGCAATACTCTAGAAAGGTGCTTTAGTCCTTACTTCGCCTTGCAAGCTTTACATTAAAAAAAAGCATAATGCAGATAAGCAATCTGCGATCATATAATCACTAACCAGATTGTGGACGCTGTATGCGTTTTCAAGAGCTAGAAACTGGTTGTTCTGCTCCAGCCTCCTGCTCCAAGTAGCACCAAACAGAGAAATACATTTGGAGGAAAGCAATAATCGGTTTCTGAATAAATAGCAGATGTTATCATTGCTGCCAAATCACTGTCCCTTTTGCAATACAGCAAGCCTGGGATCTAAATGTGGAGCTACTCTGAAAAGCTGTGCCTCTGCGTACCTGGCCTGTGGTGGTTCTCCCTCAATGCTACAAATGGTCTGCTGCTTTTCTGGAGGACTCAGAGTCTTGTGTCATAAAAGCAACTGCTTCATCAGAGCTCAAGTATGGAAACATGTTTTCTTGCACAGAAAAGAATACATGGATTAGGTGTCAATTTTAAATAACTTAGCTTCCTATTTAAAATGGAGCTCTATGTGAATCTGTCCTTGACAAAAACATTCATAAGCATGAGGAACCATCAAAACACTATAGCTGCTCGCCATCTTCAGGAGGCAATATTACAGTCAGGAAAGCCATTTGTATTCCTAAGTAAGTGTTTCTGAAAAGCTCGGGCAAGATGTTTGCAATGAGGTCTTTCAGCTTCCTAAACAAGTTTGGGGTCCCATAAAGAGAGGACTTTTTAACAACAAAAAATTCAAGTTGCCACTCTGATCCTCCAGTTCACTTGCCTAGATCAAGATGCATTATACAGCTATTTTATTGCTCTGGTAATTGAAAAAAGACTTTGAAATGGGAATACAGTGATCTGGTCTTAACGCGACTGGGATTTTCTTTAAGTGTTGATCTGGTTCTCTGTCTCTAAGGCCTGTTGGTCCAACAGAAATGTATTAATTCATGAAACACAGCAAATTTATAACCTTGGTTTGCTGAAATTTGGTGCTACATGTGGGGAAATCAATCTGAAGTTTAATCAGTTTTTCAGGTACCTAACTGACTGGTCTCTTAATTTTTTTGAGCACATGATAAACATGGGAGCAGTAGAGCCATCTGATTTTAATGACTTTTAATGTTTGTGAAATTTTTCTATTCCATCATTTTGGCACTCACTGATTAACAACTGTGAATAAACCACTGTCATCATTTTTGTTAATGTGGAAACAAAAAGGAATGCTGCAAAACAAATGTTAGTATAATAACTTCTTCTAGAATTCAGCAGAAATCTGCTAAACAGTGGATCTATTTATCATTTTAGATAAAATTCAGAAGACCTGAAAATGTCTTTGCATAAGATACAATTAAATATCTTCACATGCAATGACAGTAACTGACCTCTGGGGTGATGCCATATTAAGGCAGGCAAGATGATACATATGATGCAGGTAAGAAAGGTGTCTTTCATGTTGGAAATATTTCTTGCTCCTTTTAGAAGTTCTGTAAGGTAGGGAAAAAGAAAAAAAGAAATCAACAATATTAAGAATTAATTGTGATTATTATAAACTGTCATCATTATAAACATTGCTATAAAACGTGAGCTTACTTAAAGGGATTTGCATATGTGGCTCAATGTTGTTTCATAATACTGTATAACACCTGATATTTAATTACTTGTAATTTCTATTCTCAGGAATGCCTTGAATTAGACACGGAAATAATACAACGACAAAAAATACAAATGAAAAGAAACCCTATGGTTAAATTACAGTTTTCTACCATACTGGAATCCCTGTAGAGAGATTAAATGTTTAATATGCATCACTTTTATACATGTAAAGTTCAGCTCTTAATTTGCAGTTAATACATCAACTGTCATTAATGACTTTGAGTAGCAATTTTTGACTGCAGGCAATCTTGAATTTTTATATGTGTATGCTGGCAAATTCAGAGTTCCTTATTTTGCTTTTCTGTATGAATCCAGCAGCTCCCTTGCCTCCTGAAGGAAGAAAGTCTGACAAAAAAAAAAAATCAACAAAGCATTTTATTTCTAACAAAGCTATTTGATCTCTAAAATTCTTGAGTGACTTGAGGACCAGCTGTAAGCTAAGGCTCTGGAGCTGGGCTGCAGAAGACTTCAAGAATCATTCTTAATGCAGGATCCACATTTTATACATAAATTACTGCTGGTGGTGACTCATTTACACCACCTTCAGCATTCTGCCTTCCACTTAGAGTGAGACTAATGCAACTGGTAGGAGTGTACAGAAGCAAGAGCAGGGCCATATGCTTGGTGGGCTGCTCAGCTCTGCACTGAAAGTAACTGATTACAGTACTGTGTGGGCTGCCATTTCTGTCCCGTATGTAACACTCACTGGGTAAGAAGTTATACTGAATAAAATTCTTGAAATAGCAAACTAATAGCCTGGTATATGTAAAATACTGTTTAAGAACAACAGATGTGACATCCTATGGCCATGACCCTCCACTATGCCTGCAGTTATGAAGAGTCTTTAGAACTTCCATGACTTGTTTACGCAGAATTTCTTGAACAGCCTGGTAAAAATATATCCCTGCTATGAAACAGAGGGATATAGAGGGCAAGCGCATCTTAACATTGACCTGGAACTTCTGGCCTCAGAATTTTTGAAGTTGTATTTTGTAGGCAGCATGTCATAAATGCTTGTAGCACCAATGGGTTTACATACATACAGCACTAGTTCTGTGGGTAATTGTGAGATTACTCATGTGCACTGTGTCTTTGGATGACTGGGATTTAAAGAGCAAATGCTTTCCTACCTGCTTTTTGGAATATTTGTCCCTTCACCTTTGAATTGACACTGGCTCAAAGCCAGGTTGGATGGGGCTTTGAGAAACCTGGAATAGTGGAAGGTGTCCCTGCCCATGCAGGGGGGTTGGAACCAGATGATCTTAAGGTCCCTTCCAGCCCATACTGTTCTATGATTCCATGAATCCAAAATCATTATTTTGTTAAAGGGTTACCAAAATTCCCCCGCACTTAACTGAATTATTTTGTTTTCTGCAGTGACACAACATATTTCTTGTTACTAGAAGATCCTCTGTTTTTTCATAATTTTGTCTTTCATGCACCTGAAAAGAGCATGGAGGTCAGGGCTCCTGGGAAATATGGAGTTAAAGTAATCCAGGCTGGTTGCCTTGAATAGGAAATCGCTTGCCCCAGCAGTCAATTTGCCTAATTGATTAGAAGCCTGATTGCACCCCCGAAGGGCTTGATGCCCCGGGGGCATGGAGCTTCCAGGGCAGCTCCACAGGCGGGAGACTGCGGTGCTCCTGGAACCTGGCCTGAGGAATTTTCTCACTGTCCGGGTTCCGATGGGCGCTCCCGGTGCCCCTCGGCATCCCCCGGTCCCACGGTCACCCCGCAGGCCGTCTGCGGCCCTGCGGAGGACGCTCAGCCCGTTGCTGCTTCAGCCTTTCCTGCTCCTTCACCTCTAGGGAGTGAGAACCAGGAGTGCCCGAAGGATGGGAGTCCAGCGGTCTGGGAAGCTTCCCCAAAGCCAGAACCAGCCGGAGCGGCTCCCCGGTTTCCTCAACAAAGTTGCCTGGTGAAGCCCAGTGGCAGGAAACAGTTTACAGCACAGTAACTCGGCCCCTTGTCTGAGCTTTTTCAGCTTGGCTTCAGTAAGATTACCATGATAAAGACCAGCACTTTTTTTTTTTTTACTTCCACTTTTGCCCCTTCAAGTCCCTACTTGATCTTGACTTATCTGAAGTTCATTCTGGTACTTTGACACTTTGGCTATTCTCCCAGACAGATGTAATTACAAGAGTTCAAATAAACCCTTTTTGTTGTTATTGGGGCAGGGGATGAGGGAGTGAGGAGAAAAGCAGAGAGCTGCTCTAAACTTTTGCTGGGAGAACTCACCTCCTCCCAAGGCTCTTCAGGTCTTCTCTGCAATTTACAGGGCCCAGAAAGTGGCAGCTGTGGGACATGATCCAACATTCAGGTTTAGTGTGAAACAGAAATAGCAAAGAGTGAACCCAACAGGATAAATAGGAATTGCAGACTGCCAACTGCGTTTCAGCATCTTCCAATGAGACCTCAGCATTCTTACCTTGAGAAAGAATTTGACATTTTAAAATGAGAAACAAAACCCATGTGAATGCTCATTGAATGCATTACACAGTGAAACGGCACAGTGGCTTGCAGTCTACTTCAGCACTCATTCAGTTCTGATGTGAAGAAAAACACCTTTTATTTCACCCTTCTCCATCTTCACCACATGCTGGAATTCCTGGACAGTCTCCAAATCAAATACAACCTGCTCTCCTTACCTTGTGGGACTTAGGGACATCCCTGTTGCTAGGGCTGCAAGGTACCAAAAGGATAACAAATATATTTCTGTATTTATGAAAAGTAGTCTCTCTCATCCACACATTACAGAACTCAGTTCTAGTTTCCTGAGAGTGGAAAGCAAGTTACAACTCCAGTTATGGTTCACCTGGGAATAGCTTATAGAGATTCTCCTTTATGTCAGCATAAAAAAGGGCAGTCAGCTGGTGAAGGCAACACAGGCATAACCCAGTCTCTAGTGCAGTGTAAAAAGAAAAACTATGGCAGGGTTTAGACTTTCACTCTGACGACATTCACAAACCACCTGGAACAAAGATGCGTGGGGAAAGTGAGGCTGGCCTGAAGAGAAGAATTATTTCTGTATCTTCAATTTGATACTTAGATTTGTCACTAGACATGCTACTACATTATTAGGAAGTGGAGCTGTATTTCTACAAGGAAGACTGATCTTGTTGCTTTTTATTCTATTACTTCCCAACCCTTTTTTTCTAGGCCTTAAGTACTTGTACCTCCACACACTTCACTGGTGCAGTTCCTGATTTAGTATTCTGAGAACCGCTATTAGAACCACTACGCAGATCTTTAATCCTTTTGACAAGATATATTTATATTCCTCCTGTATTAAACAGAGTCCATAATGCTTTATGCAGTGACCTGGATGACAGAGTCGTGGATGCATCTATTAAATCTGTGACAACACCAAGTGGGAACAGGGTACCAGAAAGCTGGACTTAGAATAGAAAGTGATCTTGACAAACGGAAAGCATGGTCTGAAGAAGCAGCAGGCTGTCCAGCAGAGACAATGCAAGATAGTGCACATAGGCAAGAATAATCTGCTGCATGAAGACGGGTTGTAAAACATTTAGTTAGAGAGTAAGCTCTACAGAGATGAGAGCTGAGTGGCTACTGAGGGTTGCAAGATTAGCAAACCCAAACACTGCAAGAGGAACTATGAGCACAGGTCTGGCCTGGAAATCATAAAACATTAATAAATCAGTTCTATGCCGCATTACAGCTTCAAGGGGAGTACTGCATCCAGTTGTCTGTGAGGCGCTTCAAGAGGGACACCAAACAGTTGAAGAGAACAATAAGGATGAACAGAGGTCTAGAAAATGCAATTAATTAAAATGACATTAGCTTAAAAAGAAAAGATTGAAGTTACTATTGTCTGCAATAGTGGGAAAGAATTTTTTTTTTTCTATTTATTTAGTTATCCCATAGGAAAAAACACAAATTGTATCGGGCTTAAGTTGCAGGAAGAAGGTTAAGGTTCCAGACTGAGAAATACGTTTTAATGGTAAGAACAAGGGGGGCTCTGGACCAAGTTTGACAGGGAGAGAAGGTCCCTGAGAAGCTGTCAGACAAATATCTCTCAGCGATGAGTTGGTATTATCTGAAGCTGTGTTGTGCAGGGGAGCAAATTAGATTATATTTTCTTTAGAAGAACTTTCCAGTTCTGCAGTTCCAATAACCAGTAATCGTAAAAAAATTAGCGGTTAATATAATTTTTCAAGATCCTCATCCTTTCAAAAGTTGTGCTGGTTTTGATAAAGTTTTCATAAAATAAAACAAAAAACTTATGAGCTAAGCTGTCAGTTCTACCATCCTCTACAAAAACCTGGCATGTATTCATCTTATTTTATTATGGTATGATATCATGAAATAATTATTGTCTTGTGCTTAACAACGTAAGAACTGCAACAACCCATAAGTACTGGACAGGCCTTTTTAAATAGTCTACAGAAATTACTTCTGAAACATCATAAAGTCTATATACAGTACCTGATCTTAAAAAATAAAATCAACACTCCCACACTGGGAGATGTATCACCTAGAGAGAGCCATCTGCCTGCATGCTCTCTGGTATGCTTTTCTGTTAATTCTTATGTCTGAAAACAGAGAAAGCAAAGACCAAGAAATGACAGGCAGAGTTATTGTACCAGAGTATATACTAGAGTATTAAAAATAGATTCTGTTAAAATAAATAAAACAATAGCTTAAACTAAATTAAATAAATGTTTCTTTCTCTTTGATGGACTAAATCTTGTATTTCCACTACAATTCAGAAACATGAGTTATATTTTTTTTTTAATTTTCTGTTTAAAAAAATAGTACGAAAAACATCACAAGAAAAGAATGGTTCCAAAATATATTTTAAATTATACAAGCCAGCTGTGCATAACACGATACACAGCTTGGTGCACTCTTTTGCCTTTTTTTGAACATTTTAAAACACACCAGCACGCTGCACCAGATTCAGCTCCTGTATGAAGAAAAAGCATTTCTACCTGGATTCAGTGGATTTATTCTCATGTTCAATGTTACTCACTCTTTCTTCCTTTCTTTCAAACAGAAACCGGACTCAGACCTATTGCACTTACAAATCACAATGAAATTTTACATCATTGCTATTATTCCCTTGGACTTTACTGTGAGATCACTCTGTGCTTTACAGCAGTAGATAATTTTGTTGATTTTTTCCTCTCCCTGCAGTCTGAAGGATTTTTTGCGTCTCCAAATGAATTTTCCCAGGCATGAGCAATACCCACTGAATGTATTTAGGATTTGACTGTATTATATGTTAATCACCTCATAGAAATTCTCAGCCTGGTGAATAGCTCAGTTCAGTTCTGAAGTATCAATGTTACATTTATTATTAAAATTAGGACATACTTTGCATGTTCTTTCTTAGGGGATTTGTAGCACTTCAAAATATGTTTGGTTTCCTTTTTCTTTCCAGTTGTGTGCTTCCATTTAAAGAATGCCTTTGCCAAATTTGCAGCAGCAGAATCTGAAAACATTATGAGTGTTTAGGTCTCTTAACACCTACGATGAAATATCACAAACACTGCATAGGCAAGAAGATACAATTTGAATCCCCCTTACAATACACACCTTTTTTATTATCAATAATTACACTTCCTTCTGTGGGCACAGATGGATTTCCTTACCCTTAAAGCATGTTTCAGTGTACGCCTAAAATGTACAAGGAGTACATCTTAGGAAAAACACTCCCATGTATAAGGATCTGACCATAGGCTATTAACATCAATGTATGTATATGTGATTTACAATTTTGTAGGTTAAATTTATGTAGATCCTACATGGATGACAACCACAGCTTGTATTTTCTCTCTGAACACACTTTAACATGCATAGAGAGTACAAGGAACATCTTAGTGCAAAGTGAAATTTAGGCGTCTTGAGGGCATAGGAAAGTTTGGTTCCTGCAGAGGCTGCAATTCCTCTACAGGATCCCTCCAATTTGGCTTTTAGCTACAGGAAAGCAAATCAGACACAACCTCCTGGTGTTTGCATGGATATTGACCAAAAGTTAACGCTAGATACATGTATAAAAAAAATTCTGCCTGTGTACCCTGGAGGTGTGTCCTGGTTGCCATGGGAATGGTAATCATGAATTTCCTGGCCAAAGTGTGATCAAAATCCCAACTTTCAACACTGCATTAATGTTGTTTTTCACACTTGCAAGATACAGATTTTAGCTGTAGTTCAGACGTTCCCCAACAGAATAAACTCTTTCCCTGATATTGTGCTAGGACGTTAAACTTAACAAAAAAAAACCCACCAAACAAAAAACCACAAACAAAACCCAAACTAAACAAACAAAAAAAAAACCACAACAAAATCAAATAAAAAACAAACCAAACAAGAAAAAAAGGTTAAAAATGTAATAGTCACATGCAGATAAACCTTTATATTATAACCACCAGCATTTCCAGCAAACCCCCTCCAGTTTCCATTCAAGCTGGTGGCTCAATGTACCTGAGACAGCTAATTAAAAAAGGAAGTGGTCAAAGTCATGCCTTTTTTTTGTAAACTTCAAAGGTGATCCCTCTCCTTCCTCCTCTTTACATTTTACTGTCTGGCTTTCTGCCCATCCTGCAGCTGTTAGCCGAGCCTGTGTTTCATGGCGTCAAACCTGCCTCCTCACGGTCCATAAAGTTACAGCAGGGATCGTGATACGCAGGTGTGGAAAAGCCAGAAGTGCAAGATGGGCCCGTTAATGATTTTTCTGGCACCCCATGCTGAGCTGCTGGGAAAAGAGAGAGCAGCTCCAAGAAGGCAAGGGACTCTTTGTTTGCAGAGGTATTTGAGATCGTATTACTTCTCCCACAACAAAGGTGTTGGGTTTTCACTTTAAGGGCTGTTTACAGAAATGATCCACCTTTTATACAGCTTTTAAAAAATGCTTTGAGGCTTTAATTGGACACAGGATTTGTGTCACACCAGTATGAAAACTCTTACTTTTCATTTAAGCCCCCATTAAATCATTCCATGATCTTACTCATTGATAAGCAGCCAGCTCCCATTATGTGGACTTAACAGAGGAAAATAAAAAATCAAATCAGTAGGGGTACATTTATGTCATAAATTCTAATCTGGGAATTTCTGCATCCATTTACCTTTGGGCAATGAAGGCAACGAAGGCAGAGGAGACCAACTGCTAAAAATATTGCTGTTCTTGAAATATCTGAACAGTGTCATAGCTAATATCTAAAACAGTTTATAAAAGTCACTTAGAGGCCTGCTTCACTTTAAACGTTGCTGCTCAAGCTGTGATCTGAACTGTGTCCAAAGAACAACTTTAAACAACTCAAGGTCAAGAC